TACAAGCATATATATATATATACAATCCAACTGCCAGCTTGCATATATATATATATATATATATACATTCTAATAGTTAAATTTAAGTTCTAGGGTGGGTTATCAGAGCAACCACTAAGAAATTACAAAAGAAATCAACTCATTTACAGAAGAGCCCTACATCAGAATGGGGAAGCGCGGGAAGTGGGAACGGCCCTGTGGTGGATCATTGTGCACGCCTACTGCATGGGGGCGCAAAACATTGAAAAATGCGAGTTGACCAAAAACTAAGTTTTAGAAAATAGTATAAGAACGTACTAACCCCACTATAAAAACAGTTATAAAAACTTAATCAAGTTTTTCAGCTATACTCGTATTGAAATCATGTATTCATATTTATATCTATAGGCCAATCATAGTCTTAGTCAAACATTAATTCCATGAAAGCATTGAAATCAACTTTAATCTATCACCTAGGTGTACCCATTTTATTTCCTCAATTTCCTTAATTACTATCAATTCCTCGTGTCACCGTGGTGACACACCCTTGCAAGACTGAGGAGACACTCGGTTAGCCTGATCCACCCTCCTCGCAAGACTCAAGGAACACTAGGCCCACCTGAGCTGCATTCCTCGCTCCCACAGTTCGAATATCCCTAAGCCTCGTGGGGCAAAAGTCAAGCATGCTAACTTAACTGAAGACAATACTTAATATACTAGGTTACCTAAGGTGATTAAAGAAAATATAACCTCCTAGAAGGTTTGGAATAAATAAAACTAACTCCTCTAATCTTAAAACTCTGTTGCCATCCTATTTGATTTCTAAAATCCTTATTTCCACTATACTTTAAGTATTGTCGACTCGGCAGCAAATAAATAAAATATTAATCTTAGCAACACATGCTAGAAAGCCCTCAATCTATTGCATACTCATTCAAGATCAAATAATGAATTTAAATTGCATAAAATCATTTATGAAAGCAAAGGTCCACTCACTCTTGGTCCGAGCTAGCTGGACCTCTTGAAGGTCCTTCCTGCGGGTCTGTCTGGGCCCGTGTGCCTGATTAAACCATCATGAATATTTTATTAATAAATTGCTCAATATAATATATAATATTTAAATAAAACCCTGACCTCCGGCTCCGAAAAGTGTGAGCACTAACTTTAAAGTCATTACTATGCCCACAAAAGCTTCCCTTACATTTGGAATGGTTTAGAAGTGCCTCAGGACTCAAAAAGCGCTAAAGTCCCAAAAAGTCAACCAGGGGCCCCGTGGGTCCACAACCTCTAAATTTTGATTCAGAAGCTCCTAGAGGTTCCAATATACTTCGGACTCATGTCCCGAGAGTTTGATCTCGATCGGGCGGTCGGATAGATCACGATCACACAATCGTATGGTTAGCATTTTCAGAGTATCTGGGACTCTGATTTACGATCCGTCAACTCCTATACGATCCTGGAATTATCTAAATCAACATATCTTAAAATGACTATGATCCAACGGCTCAAACGTATAGAACCTGGAAATCGCACAATAGGCGAGATCCGTTCGGGGTTCAAACGTTATCCAAATTGAAATCCACGAGTACCTACGTGCTCGAGAGGACCAATGGATTATTCTAGGACTAAATGTGGTCCCCACCATCCTACCCATGCACCGCCACACACGCTGGCAGCGCGTGGGTGGCTTGATAAATTTTTGGCATCGGAAAAAACTCCAAACTGCCAGCCCAAACTCCTATCCTAGGTGTAAAACCCTATTTGGAACCACTTTTGTTCTTGGACCTACCCCAAAAACTGACCGGAAGTGGCCGAAATTGCAATTCCAAAATCTGCCCGAACCCTAACTCGAAAATCAACCTACCAAACCTAGAAATTTCTCAAATCCTACCCAACCATCAGCTAGAAATCCATACCTCACTTGTCTGATTTGGTGACCGGAAGATGGCGTACGACGTAGTCGAAATTTTGACTAAAACCGATCGGTTTTCCGATGAAATTGTGGCGGTGGAAGGGCGGGGAAGGCGCCGAACTTGACGGCAGGACCTAGCGGGTGTGGTTGGGTCCAGTCTAGTGGGGTGTGACGGTGGTTGGGAGGTTTGGTGGCGGTCGGGAAAAACCAGACAGTGGAGGGGGTTTGTCGCGAGAAGAGAGAGAGAGAGAGAGTGAGAGGGAAAGAGAGAAAAGAAGTTTTAAAATTTCTGATTTCAAAAATTACCATTTTGCCTTTCATTGTATTTTGATCGTATTTCCTTCAATACGACTCGGATCTGAGTTCACTACGTGTCTACAGACTCGTGTCGTTGCGCTCTACCCAACGGTGCAAGCTGAATTTTGAATTTCCTTCCCAGTCAAAAGTCAAATTTTTCTTTAATAAACTAGTCTAGGGGCAAAATTGTCTTTCTCTCTAATAGATTAATAATTAAATATTATTTAAGGACCAGGTTATTACAATAACAGTCCGCTAAATATCAATAAAACATGAGAACATATCACAGTGATGTGGGCTTTTTATAATCAACAGATATGCCTTAAATGGCATGATATAGGGATCATCATTTGGCTCATGACTTATGAACCAAAGGAGGTAGCTTGAAGCTTAATGGGCCAAAGTTTGGTCCAACCTAGTGGTTAAGCCCGCTTTGCCCAACTCGTGTCAAGCAGTCCACCCACAACCCAGCAGCAACCCTCTCTCTCTATTTATTTGTTTGGCACAGGTCTGGATCTCTCTCATATAACCCTATAACCCAAATATGTAATTTTTTGTTGCCAAACTTCCATGAAATTTAGTTTGTCCCTTTACCTTATTTTTGTATGGAAATTGTGGTCCTTATCTCAAACTTGTGTGCAGGTGCCTTCAAAGTCTTCCCTTGGTATTCTTCCAGGGTGCTTCATTTTCTTTTCCTCTTTTTTGTCTTTTTGTGTGGGGAAATTGGCTGGAATTGCATATAAACAATTTATTATTTTGTAACTTTTGCTACGAGGATTCTTGGCAAAGTTGGCCGGCAGTCAATGAATAGACCCAATTTCACATCACATAGGAAATTACTTGGCTTCTCCATGGAAAGATCCATTTCCTTTTACTTTATTTGAAATGTGTCCAGACAATTTTCAAATAAGTATGTATATACATATACAGAAATATGCCAAGAGTAACTCGTTTTACGGAATGAGCCAAACGATATTCTTTTACTTGTCTTTGGAGATAGCTGACAAGAGAAAACGTGTGCTCGCCACTACACAGTTTTGCAACTCTCTCTCTCTCTCTCTCTCTCTTTCTGACTGTTAGGTTTGCTTTTGTTGCTGGTTTTTTGGCTGATCTTGAGAAGTTGTATTTATTGTGAGTTTCTAGTTGGTTTGCTGGTCGTGTAGTTGTTGTCTTACAAATTCTCTGGCTCTGTAATTTTTTCGGTGTTCAGGTAACGTTGACTAAAGCATATGCAATTTTTAGTTCACTTGTGTAGTCATGAGGCTTATATTTTTGTTTTAAATGTTGAAATTCGTATTTTTGTTCCTTCTAATGTTTATACGTTGAATTCCTCTGTTTCTCTCTGTTGAAGTGGATTAAAAAAAATCCAAAAATAACAACATAACATGTTCAATTATTGATATTTTCCTCAACGTGAATAATATGATTTCCCCACTTGTCTGACTATTTGTTTCGTTTTCTTTGCTCTGAAACTTGTTTCCTCAACGTCCTTATTTTTTGTTAGATTTATAGGGGAAAGCAAAGTGATTTTATTATATTGAGGAGAATAGTACATGTTGATGCTCTTTTTCGGAGAGGGTCAACTTAGAGAAAAAAAGGGGTTTGTCTTCAGCAGGGAAAGGGTCTGGACCTCCAATGAAGGCTAGCCTGTAGAAGACAAAAATAAGGGAAGCAGTCGTTAAGCTCCGGGCACCGGTGTGGTGCCGGCCGAAGGCCCTCCGATGCTTAAGTCAGCTAAGAAGAGTAACTTTTGCAGAGTAATAGTAAAAGGCAGAAACGTAGTTACCCCTCTTACTAGGATACTGTTCCCTTTTTATAGGGAAGTGAAAGTGGGAGGTTGGTGTAGATTTCCGATGTGGGGACTTTGTGCAAGTCGCCGCAGTGGTGACACTTGTCATGAGAATTAGGTTTAGCAGTTTGTGAGCTTTGGCAGTCGGGAGTTTCGGCAGGTGCTGGCACCTCGGAAGAGTGTCTTCCTTCGGTAGGAGAGAAGGTGTGTCTGCCTTGGTGCTAGTTGTTTTGAGACTGGATATGCTCGGTTGATTATGGTGTAACCTGTACATAACCTGACCTCTTTAGCTTATCGGCTTATTGGCCCTTACACTTTGATTTAGAGCCCTTGCACTTTGATTTAGATTAGTTTTGGGCTATTCGGCCCTTTACTTAGATTAGTTTGGGCTATTTGGGCCTTACACTTTGATTGGTGAGCTTATTGGCTCCTCAACATAGTTTATTTGGGTAGCCTTGGCTTCCTTAGTTTGGGAGTTCTTTTTGTTGGACTCCCCACATAACTTGGGTTGGATAGCCTTTTTAGCTCCACCTTGTATGAGTACAAGTATGCCTATTTATAGGCTTTGATTGCCGCCATTGCCCAAGTCCCACCGACTTGGACAATCTCCCCTAGCCACATATTTTATTTCTCTAGACTTTTCTACAATTCCTTGATGCATACTTTCTTGGTTTTTCTGGAACATTCTTCAATCTTTAATTGTGTTAGCCAACATTTCCTTCAAGCTTATAGCACTTTCTTCAAGCTTTTAGATTTTTCTATATTTTTTAACATATACCCAAAAAAAACCGCTCTAAATTTTAACATTTTAACATTTTAAATGTGTATTAATTTTAACATTTTTCCTCTGCCTTACTAAATTTTCATTTACCCAAAAAAAACCGCTCTAAATTTTAATCCTTTTCTTTATGCAACCCATTTATCATCATCTTCTATTTATTAGTTGAGTGTTTGGATTTTTAAAGATTTAATTAGCGAAAGGCTTATTTTCATTGAGTGTTTACAGCAGCAGCAGATTGCCAAATGGCATTGAGCACCCAAAGAGACTCTGCCTTTCTTCCTTCACCTCATCAGTCTGCTCCTCAACCAAACCACGATGTGTTTTTGAGTTTCAGGGGTGAGGACACTCGACTTAGCTTTGTATCCCATTTATACCACGAATTGCAGCTCAGGGGCATTAAAACATTCAAGGACGATCCTAAGCTTGAAAGAGGGACACCTATTTCTTCAGAGCTCTTCAATGCAATCGAAGAATCAAGGCTTGCAATCGTTGTTCTCTCGCCAAATTATGCATCTTCTTCTTGGTGCTTGGATGAACTTACAAAGATTCTCCAATGCATGAAATCCAAGGGCACAATTCTGCCAGTGTTTTATAATGTGGATCCCTCCCATGTGAGAAAACAAAGCGGCAGTTTTGTGGACGCCTTCACTGAGCATGAGAAAAGGTTTAGGGAAGACATCGATAAGGTGAAGCGCTGGAGAAATGCTTTAACAGAAGTAGCCAATTTATCTGGGATAGACTCAAGGAATGAGTAAGCATGAATGAACAACTTCTCTATATGTCTTAACAAAACCCATGGCTTATATTTTAGACTTCATGATCCTTTTACTTTTCCTCCTTGTAGGTGTGAAAGAAAGCTTATTGAAAAGATTGTTGAATGGGTGTGGAGTAAAATGCATCGCACATTCAAATTGTTAGATTCCACAGAGTTAGTGGGAATTAAGTTTACACTTGAGCACATAGATTGGCTATTAGCTCCTACGGATGATGTTCGCTTTCTAGGGATATGGGGAATGGGCGGCATTGGCAAGACGACCATTGCTAAGCTTGTTTATGAGAGCATTTCTGTTCATTTTGAAGTTAGCTGCTTTCTTGCTAATGTTAGAGAGGTTTCTGAACATGGGAATCTTGTTAATCTATAAAGACAGCTTCTTTTCCCGATCTTGAAGGAACAAATTACTCAAGTTTGGGATGAACAGTGGGGGACCTATTTCATTAAGAATTGCTTGTCTAATAAAAAGGTTCTTCTCATTCTTGACGATGTGAGTGAATCAAGCCAACTTGAAAAGTTGGCTGGTGAAAAGGATTGGTTTGGTAAAGGGAGCATAATCATAATTACAACTAGAGATGAACGGTTGCTAGTTAAGCATGATATGCAGGTATCATATAAGGTAGAGGGATTAAGTGATGATGATGCTCTTGAGCTCTTTAGTCGGAATGCCTTTAAAAAAAATGAGCCTGAGGAAGGTTTCTTGGAATTGTCCAAGGGTTTTGTTAATTATGCCAAAGGCCTTCCACTAGCTCTTAAACTTTTGGGATGCTTAATGTATAATAGAGATGAAGGTGAATGGGAAAGTGAATTGGATAAGCTACGGAAAATTCCTAGGTCTGAAATTTTTGATTTACTCAAACTAAGTTACGATGGACTAGATGAGATGAACAAGAATATATTTCTTGATGTTGCATTTTTTCTTAAGTGGAAGGGCAAGGAGGAAGTAATTGAAATACTAGACAGTTGTGGCCTATGTGGTCGTATTGGGATAAATGCTCTCATTCAGAAATCACTCTTAACTATATTAAATGGGAATGTTGAGATGCATGATTTGATACAAGAAATGGCATTGGAAATTGTTCGTCAAGAGTGTCCTGAAGAGCCTGGTAGACGAAGTCGATTGTGCAATCATGATGATATCTCTCATGTATTCGTAAACAATACGGTAAGAGTTTTGGAAGATTTATAAATTGTCTTTAACACAATATTAGACTTAATAAATGATATCTTTGATGTATTCATAAACAATAGGATTAACTGTTGATTTGTCCCCTAAACTTGTACCTAACTTTCGATTTACCCCCAATCCTTTTTTTTTATAAAGAAAATTGAGGACCTCAATTATTATTTTTAGCCAATTTCCCCTCTGCTGTTAATTTTCCTCACATTCCATCCAATTTACCTTTAAAAATATCATGTGCCAAGTATGTGAGGCTATTTAAGGGCAATTTGGTTATTTTGCACCTTAACAATAATTAAAATTTTGAGAAAAAAATTAAAGCAAAAAATAAAAAATTATAATAATTAAAAACCCTTCAGCCCTTTTTACCCCTTTCCCCACTACTGTTACCCCCACCCCTCAGCCATCTCCATCCCTTTGCCCTTGCCCTTACCTCGCCTTTCTTGCACCTACCCTCCCTGTTGCTCCCTCCCTCCCAGAACTTCTCAACACCCAAAACTGAGACCACCCACCCAGCCGCCTCTTCCTCATTGTTACCCCAACCACCAAAATCAAACCCCAAAGCATACCCAACCAGAAATCACAACAAAGATTCAGAAAAATACAAGCATTCCATAACTCACAAGCACATCATCTCTGTTTATCTCTCTCCCTCTCTCTCTCTCTCTCTCTCTCTCATGGGCATATTGGGTGGGGGTTGTTGGTTGAGTAGCATGACTCAGGTATTACCCTGCTTGGGTGTTCGGTGGACTAAGGAATTCAAGGGGGTTAAGGTGGTTTTTTAGGAGAAGAGGGGTGCTGGAGTTGGGAGACTATGGTGGGGTAGCTAGGGGATGATGGTGGGGGAGGCTAGTGATTGGTGGGAGCAAGATGGGGCTGGGAAATGTTTTTGTTTTGTTTTGTTTTCTTTTTCTTTATTGTTTTATAACATTATTTAAGTCTTGCATGTGACCATTCTTAACACTAATTAGATGAAATGTGAGTGAATTTAACGGTAGGGGGAAAATTGACTAAAAAAATAATTGAGGTCCTTAAATTTCTAAAAAAAATGAATATGGGATAAATTAAAAGTTAGATACAAGTTTAGGGGGCAAATCAATAATTAACCCTAAACAATATGATAAGAAGTTATATAAAGATAATTTTGGAAGATATATGATTTCTCTTTAACACATTATTAGACTTTAATGTGGAATTAACTTTTCTTTTACTATTCTTAATTACAGGCAACAGACAAAATTAAAGGCATCAGATTACACATGGAAACACTTGAAAAGGCCTACTGGAATTGTGAAGCCCTTTCTAAGATGTTTAACCTAGAATTTCTTGAATTTGATAGGGTTATTATTTCTTCAAGCCCTAGAATTCTTCCTAATTCTTTAAGAAGTATCAACTGGAGTCAGTATCCTTCCAAATTTCTTCCATCAGGTTTTCAACCGAATTTCCTAATTGCACTTAAGATGCGTCACAGCAAACTTGTTCGGCTTTGGGATGGAAGAAAGGTAAGAGTAGGGACCATATGCCATTCTAGAAATTAGTTTTTTTTTAATTATAAATAAATATTTTGTTTCAAAAAAATAAAATAAAATCTGAGCTAATTATCTATTATACCATTGTTATGAATTGTACAGGACTTGCCCTACTTGAAAGAAATGGACCTTTGTGGCTCTGAAAACTTGAGCACAACCCCAGATTTCTCTGGCATTCCGAATCTTCAGGTGTTGGATTTGTTGGAAGTTTGAATTAAATTCAAGAACCTTTGTCCCACATTGATAGAAAGTAGAAGGTCAAGAAACTAAAGTCTGTAAACTTGTTAAGTCTTTATATGGACTTAAACAAGCACCAAAACAATGGCATGAAAAGTTTGATCATACAATGATGTCACACGGATTTAAGATCAATGAATGTGACAAGTGTGTCTACATAAAAAACAACAAGAATTCTTGTGTTCTTGTATGTTTATATGTTGATGACATGCTCATAATGGGAACGAGTAAGGATGCGATAAATTCTACAAAGAAGATGTTGAATTCAAGTTTTGACATGAAAGACTTAGGTCAAGCTGATGTCATATTGGGAATTCAAATCAAAAGAAATAATGATGGGTATATTCTTACTCAATCCCATTATGCAGAAAAAATTCTAAGAAAGTTTGGTCAATTTGACTGCAAACCTGCTGTGACTCCTTTTGATGTAAATTGCAAGTTAAAAAAGAATAGTGGAGATGCAATTTCCCAATTGGAGTATTCCCAAGTAATTGGGAGCCTAATGTATTTAATGAATTCTACTAGGCCAGACTTAGCTTATTCAGTAAGCAGGCTTAGTAGATACACAAGCAATCCTGGACATGATCATTGGGAAGCACTAATAAAGGTGCTAAGATATTTGAAATACACCCAAGACTATGGATTGCACTACACTAGATATCCACCAGTTCTAGAAGGCTATAGTGATGCAAATTGGATTTCTGATAGTACAGAAACCAAATCAACTAGTGGATATGTATTTACATTAGGTGGAGCTGCAGTATCTTGGAAATCCTCTAAACAGACGTGTATAGCACGCTCTACAATGAAATCAGAGTTTGTAGCCTTAGATAAAGCTGCTGAAGAAGCAGAATGGCTGAGAAACTTCCTAGAGGACATTCCAATGTGGCCTAAGCCTGTGACAGCAATTTGTATACATTGTGATAGTATGGCAGCACAAGCAAGAGCCAAGAGTGGTGTATACAATGGAAAGTCAAGACATATCAGGCGTAGGCATAATACAATTAGACAATTGCTCTCAAATGGAATTATATCCATTGACTATGTGAAGTCAAAGGAAAATATTGCAGATCCTTTGACAAAAGGCCTACCAAGAGAGCAAATCAAATTTACATCGAGAGGAATGGGATTGAAGCCAATCCAATGAATCAAACCTGACGGAAACCTAACCTAGTTGATTGGAGATCCCATGGTCTAGGTTCAATAGGCAAACTGGTTGGGTAAGATTCAAAAGTTGAACACACAATTTAACTCATTCCTATGATGATTAGTGTGTTGTCTGTTGATGTGAAGGTTATGCTTTGCATTTAATGACACTAATATCTTACTAAGAGGAGTTTAGGCAGAAAACTCTTAATTGGTGTCACCTATATGGGAGTAAATGTGGGGTCGCATTTATGAGAACGGAAAATAAAAGGCTAAGTTCTCTAAAGCTCTCATGAAACCTGGGATATGTTCAGGACCAAAATGAACAAAAACGTATGAACTAACGTTTGTTAAGATGTTATATGTGTGAGACATATTGTCTAGGTTTACTATAACGGTGAACAGTTCAAGATCAACTATATCCACTGCGTCATCAAGTAAATCCGATATGTTTTCACTAGGGTAAGTTCAAGTCCAAAAGACACTTTTCCTGATGTATATAACATCTGTTTCCTCTCAAATGCATTACATACATTTAGCAGTAAAAGTATCACATTTCAAATGTGGGGTCTAGAATTTCGATTCAAATGTGGGGTATTGTTGGAAGTTTGAATTAAATTCAAGAACCTTTGTCCCACATTGATAGAAAGTAGAAAGAGTGAGGTCCTTATAAGTGTGGAAGTGCCACACTTAGTAAATGGAAATAGGCCAAATGGAAGCAATTTGGGCTTCAAAATTGATTTGGGCTTTGAATATTATATAAAAATATATAATATTTTTTGGTTTCGAATTAATAATTTTTATTAATTCGGATTAGTTTTATTAACTGTTTTCTAACAGTTGTGACTCTTCTGATAAGGTTTCAGAAGTTTATTTAAATCAAACAAGGCCTCATACGTTACATATAGAAAAAAGCATTCTACAAGCATTTTCATATTGTCTGAGAGGAAAACAAACAACGTTCGCCAGATTCTAAGTCCGAGTGCTAGGGCTTAGAATATAGATAGTTGAATCCTGGGAGGCAGTCACCTGTAGAACTTCAAGCACCGAGAAGGGGTGAAATTACTGTCTTTAGGACATTGCATCAAATCTGCAAGCCTTTATCTCAAATTCAAGTCAGTTTTATTTATTGTTAATATACTGTATTCTGTGTTATAGATTGTTATATATTCTGTTTATATAATTGTTTTAATCAGTCATTGATAATTGTTTTTCCAACAGGATTTTGGATTGTGTAAGAGTTTGGTTGAGATTCACCCGTCAATTGCAGATCTCAAATGTCTTAAAAGTTTGTATCTTGGTTTTTGCTCAAAATTGAAAAAGATTCCAGAATTTTCAGGGCAAATGAAAAATGTGTTATCGCTTAGTTTAAATATGACGTCCATTGAGAAATTATCTTCATCAATAGGATGTCTAGTTGGCCTTACTAGTCTGTCGCTAATGAGTTGCAAAAAGCTCACGGGTCTTCCGAATGAAATTTGTAATTTGAAGTCTCTTGAAGAACTGGATGTACAGGGGTGCTCAAAAATTGACAAACTCCCAGAGAACATGGGGGAGATGGAGTCTCTTACAGAGCTTCAATTGCATCATACTTCTATAAGACAGTTGCCACGCTCCATTTATGGTTTGAAAAAACTTTACAGTCTATCCTCTCGGTGCGGCCTTCCCTGCTTATATTAAAGAAATGCTATTGTGTTGGGTTCGCTTAATGGTTTATGCTCTTTGGGGAAATTGGATCTGAGTTGTTCTGGACTTCGCGAAGGGGATCTTCCCAATGATATTGGCTGCTTGTCCTATTTAAAAGAATTAGAACTTAGTGGAAACAATTTTGTTAGCCTTCCTGCAAGCATTGGATGTCTTTCTAAGCTTAAGTTATTTCGGGTGAATGGGTGCCAAAAGCTTCAACAGTTGCCAGATCTTTCTAAGCTTATCTCATTAGTGAATATAGACATAGCCGGTTGCACTTCCTTAAAAATGTTACCACATCTTTCGTCAAATTGCTCATTAGTGGATATAAACAACAAAATACTTTTTTATGGTTATGTTAGTTGTGCCAATTGCTTTGTATTGGTGGACAATGAAGGCTGCGATAGTATACTACTGAAAATGCTGCAGCGATACCTTCAGGTTCTCTCTCTCTCTCTCTCTCTCTCTCTCTTGTTGTTTGCTATAATATTAATTACAACTTACTAACCTCATATATATCTGTGTACATGGTACAGCTAATCCCTAGGCCTTATTTCCAATACCAATTCGAAATTGTAACTCCTGGAAGGGAAATTCCAGAGTGGTTCAGTAATCAAAGTTTGGGAGATTCCCTAACTGTGGAGCTACCTCTGGATTCATGTACCACGTGGATGGGAATTGCTTTATGTGCTGTGTTTGAAGTTCAGGATGTTCTTTCTAAATTTCATTGTTTTCAACTTAGCTGTTCCCAACAAGGAATGTGGCCATTTGGATTTTCAAGATATTTTAAAATGGGCGATGTTGTGTCAGATCACCTTTGGGCAATTTATGTATCTTGTGAAAAATTTATGAAGAAATGCGGTCAGATAAAGGTTTTGTTAAGAGCTGATTATTTTAATAAGGAAATACGGATACTCAAAAAATCTTGCCCGATTGTGAAGAAGTGTGCGTTTCGTTTGGTGCATGAGCAAGATGTGGAACAACTCAACCAAATCATGATGAACAAATCCATCATCAACAGCACTACTACTTGTCCTACCAAATCAGCTGATGCACAAGGTCAACAACGCCACGATGACCAGGAGGCTAGTCCTAGTGGAAGTGGTAGCTCTCACCAAAAATCTCCCTTTCGCAATACCCATGCTCTTTCCGAAGAGGCAGACCAAAATGAATTAAATGATGATGATGATGATGTTGTTGACGAAGCTCGGCCCAGAAAAAGAAAAAAGATCGATGTGTTTGGGACTGACCTATGATTCCTCACTTTCAAAGCAAGAGGCATCACAGCTGCTGCATTTCAATTCAATGTGAGTTGCTGCTTTTACTGATTCTACTTTTCATTTTTTTGGATTTGACATACTATTGTTTGTTCCACTGCTTGTGCTTCATTCTTAAACTACAGCAGGGGGTGCATAGGACTTTTGATTTGGAGTGTAAGCACTTTGATTTAGGTCTTGCCCCTCTTATTTTTCGCTATTGTTGAAATGTTTAATAACAACTGTTATTCTTAAAAGATGAGCTAAATTTTTGCTCACTTCGTTAAAAACTCCACCTCCTCAAATATCTGTACCTCAAATTTTTGGGCTCACAATTGATATTATTAGTAAGTCACCTCCATCTGTCTCCCTACATTTTCTTTTCTAGCCATACATTTATCGTTAGATTCATCACTTATTGTTTCAATTATGCAGCTTCTCTTATTTAGCATCTCCCAATTATTATCAACCGACTGGAGTTCTAAGAGGTTCATTAACATCAGAATATGTTGAGTAGAATTTGGGAGAGCTAGTTCTATTTTGAATAAAACTACATTAACTTTTTATTTGGAGATTGGTGGTGTATGAATGAGGTGTCAATCTAGTCAGAATGTGCTCACATTTCCACAAAAAAACAGAGGATATAGCCTTTATATTAATATTCACACAGTAGTCAACTACAACTTTTGTTCGTCTAGTGCCATGTATCTTTGTTAAGTTGTTTACCTAGTATAGCTAGACCAGTGGACAACTTGTCCCTTGTATTCTGTTCTCTTCTTAATGAAATTATATTTCTTATTACAAAAAAAAGACAGTGAAGTGACTGAGAGAGACAGTGAGTTGGAAATTGAACAAGAATAATGCAATTGAGAAAAATTAAGTTCGAAATTGCAAACATGCTGTTATCATGCATGCCTATTGATAGATTGGCTCACCTAAGAGGAAAAGGAAATAATGCGATTGACAAACAGTGAGTTGGAAATTGAACAAGAATAATGCAATTGACAAACCATAAGTTCAAAATTGCAATACCCATCCATAATCTTGTAATTAACAGCTGTGGACAGCTATGTTCCATAAAATTGTAAAACCCATCCGTTTTGGACAGCTGTGTTTCATAAAATTGTAAAACTCATCCGTAATCTTGTAATTGACAAACAGTTAGTGGGAAATTGAAACTGAATAATGCAATTGACAAACAATTAGTTGGAAATTGCAAACGTGAAGTTATCATGCGTGCCTATTTTCTTCACTTTTGACTTCGTTTTCCACATGATTTCACTTCCCATTCCTAATGCTTTTGTAACCCCAAAGTGAATAAGTTCTTTTTTTTGGGGTCAAAAAATTCGATTTTTGGCCTTTGTAAATATGTTGTAAACATGTATTTAAAATATATTAGAATTAAGAAAATACATTTATAAAGGGAAGGTGGGATATTAGAGAAGTAAATTAGGTCCTTATCCTTGTAAACCAAAGGGTTTACCATAGTAAGGAACAGTTAGTGGGAAATTGAAACTGAATAATGCAATTGACAAATAGTAAGTTCAAAATTGCAATTGCAAACAGTAAAGTGGAACATTCGGATGGTAAATTGGGTCCTTATACTTATAAACTCGTATTACTCTATGTTAAACAGGTGTGTTCCATAAGAGTATAAAACCCATCCTTAATATTTTAATATTGTAATTTACAAAGATAAAGACATCTAGTACAATATTAAGGTAACTTGGGACATAGGAAAGTAAATTGGGTCTTTATACTTGTATAAAAATAGGGTAAGAGTGGACCTTGGTGGAATAAATTTGGTCTTTGCCATTGTAAACAAGGGAGTTTACAACATATAGGACTTCCGTTATATTGTTATGGACAAAGGGGTTCCATAAAGTTATAAAAGAGATCCTTAATCTTGTAATATCGTAATTTACAAAGGAAATGACCCCCAATACAATGTTAAGGTAAGAATGACCCTTGGAGTAGTAAATTGAGTCATTATCCTTGTAAACAAGGTGGTGATTACAACATTAAGGATTCGTATTATACTAAAATGGACATAGTCGTTCCATTACATTGTAAAAGCCATCCTTAATCTCGTAATACCATAATTTACAACAACAAGGAACCCTTGTATAAGAATAGGGTAAGAGTGGACCTTGGTGGAATAAATTTGGTCCTTATTCTTGTAAACACAAGGGTTTATAGTATTAAGGACCCCTTTTACAATGTTTTGGACCTCCATGTTCCATAAACTTGTAATATCATAAATTACAACAGAAAGGATCTCTATTACATGGTTAAGGTAATTGTGGAACTTAGAGATGTAAAATTTGTACTTGTTCTTGTAAATGCAATGGTTTATAACATTAAGGACTCGTATTATAGTGCTTTGGACGTAAGTTTTCCATAAACTTGTAACGCAAATCCTTAATCTCGTACATTACAAGATTTGGGTTGTCATTTATGATTTTTTGCACCATGATTATGAGTTTGAGGTTCTTCCTTATCCATAACATTGTAATAATCTTGATTTACAATTGAAAGGATCCCTCTTACAATGACAAGGTAAAGGTAGACTTTGGAGAAGTAAACGTGGTCCTTATTTTTGTAAACACAAGGGTTTACAATATTATGGATCTCTTTTACAATGTTTTGGACCTCCATGTTCCATAAACTTATAAAGTGTATCCATAAACTTGTAATATCATAAATGTAACGAACCGGTCCTAAATAAATAGGTCAATATTAATTTATCTAGATAAAAGACCATTTTGCCCCTATAATATTTTATTAGGTTTAAAGTTGACTTTTTGACCGGGAATGAAGTTGGGAATTTTGACTATACTGTTGCGTAGAGCACGGTGAGATGAGTCCGTAGACATGTAGTGGGCTCGAATCGGAGTTGTAATGAGAGAGATACGATCAAAATACCCTTAGTGGCATAACCGTAATTTTGATGAAAAGGGTTTGATAAAAATCAGATTTCTCTCTCTCTCTCTCTCTCTCTCTCTCTCCTCCGCGCAGCCTCTCTCTGTCCTCCGCGCGACAGCAGCACAGCCGGCCACATTTTGGCCGGCCGTTCTCTCATCCGGTCACCAAAGTGACGGGGCTGGTACCAAAATGATCAGGCCACTGTGGCCCCACCTCCAGCAGCCATGGTTTCACCGGAAAAAGCTGTGAAATGGCCTGTTTTTCACTCGATCTTCGTCGACTTCGTTCTTCTTCCGGCAGCCTTTTTTGGCGATCCAGGTATGGAAATTCATCTATTCCTCAAGCTCTAGCTGATGGTTGGGTAGGATTTCGTTAATTTTGAGTGTTGATGGTTCGATTTACGAATTGAAATTAGGCCAATTTTGGGATTGCGATTCTGGCCACTTCCGGTCAGTTTTTGGGGTAGGTCCGAAAACAAAAGTGGTTCCAAATAGGGTGTTATACCTAAGGTAGGAGTCTTGAGCCGTGATTTTGAGTTTTTCCGGTGATGGGCTATCGCTTTGGACACCCACGCGCTGCCGGCGCGTGTGGCAGCACATGGGCACTGTAGAAAAAGGGCATTGTGTCCTGATGTAATCTCCTGGTCCTCACGAGTGCGTAGGTGTGCTCTTATTTCAATTTGGATACCGTTTGAGTCTCGAACGAATATCGCCTATTACGCGTTATCCGGGTTTGATAGGTTTGGACCGTTGGATGGTCTTGAATTTTTTATATGTTAATTTGGACATCCTTATGATCGTGTAAGATTCGACGGATCGTAAAACGGAGTCTCGGATACTCTGGAAATGCCAACCCTAGGGCTAGGGTTATAGTAATCGTGCGATCGTGTGATGGTGAGCGATCCGACCGTCCGATCTGGACTAAACTTGCGGGATGTGTGTCCTAAGCCTTGTACAACACATAGGAACTCTCTGTTAGATAAAAAGTGTAATAAGGAAATTAAAAATTCACCCAACATAATCTCACTCTTATTTACAAATAAGATTTTTTATTTTTAATTGAGTATGACCCATTCAAGATTAAAAAAAAATATCTCTTAATTATAATCTCTTTGAAAAGAGAAAACCCTTTGATTCCAATATGAAGAATGAAATAAATAATGGAATTTAATTTGATATTACGACTGCATCCAAGGAACCCTAGACTGCCAACATACCCCATTTTGGGGATCAAGCCTTTTGTAGTTCTCAAGAGAATTTGATTGGACTTTCAAGGAATGAATGACCCCTTGAAAGAATTTGTGGTGTGAGAAAATATTTTATGGAATTTGGATGAATGTGGTTGGACCAGGGATTCAATTTGATTTTGTGGTTGGAAAAGTGTTTGGGGTGAATTTGGTTAAGGTACACTAGGGATTCTGTTTGGAGTTGCGGTTGTATTTGGATTGAATTTCCAAATTGCCTACGTATCCTTGGCGGAATCAAACCGGACGTAGTTCCTTGAAAATTTGATTGGACGTTCAAGGAATGAATGACCCCTTGAAAGAATTTGTATATTTGAGATATTTGAATTTGATCTCATTAAAATTTGCAGGGTAGATGACCCATGGGAAAATTTGGAATGGTTTTGTACCATTTTTTTATTGTTAATGTCCAAAAAAAATTAAAAGGCATTTTAAGGAGCCCATTAATTTACTCACATATGATTAATCCATTAACCACATAATTTATTTGGACCACCCATAAAATATTTTGGGCTTTTGAGAGTTAATGGGTAATTTGTTTTGTCAACCCATCAATTTGTTTTCAGGCCTTAACATTTCTATTAGTTGGCCCATAAACAAAGGGTCCATGTCCGAAAAGCTTTGAGAGCCAGCTGCATTTGAAATCAATATATATTTGGAGTAGTAAAGATTAATCCAAACTGAGTCACTCCCATCTTTATCTGAAGTAGTTCAAATCAATTCAAACTGGACCAAATTATATATCTCTTCAACTACTCATCTGCCACAATCAAAACAGAGCCTTGGGTCTGAGATGCCAAAACCAAGGCAAGACCTTTCCTTTGCTCATGTTTGTCAAAGTAGACCATGTAGTCCACTAAATATGAATTTAAAGTCACCCCAGGCGTCATTCATTTTGCTTTGGCAGGTTTCTTTTACTTTTTTTTTGTCTTATTTCCTTCTCTTTGCTTTTCGTTTCTTTTCTTTTTATTTTGCTAGTTTCTCTTTTAGCTTCTGGGACTTCTTCAACTTTTAGGCTTCTTTGTTTTTGGCTTATGTTGATTTTGGGTTCTTCAACAGCCACAGGTGCATTCTGTCTTGGTGACTTGTGCTGCCCACTTGTGCATTCTTTTTCTCCTTTATTTGTTAAAGACTCCAAGGCTCCAGGGAAATGGAGGGGTGCAAATTAATTCTCAAGAGCACCTGCATTATTTCATCAAGTGTGTCTATGAACACCTGTAAGGCGCTCACAACACTTAATACAGTGGGGGTTCTTGCGAAAGCCCATCTACATATTTTCACAATAGAGAGATCCTTGTGAGAGCTCTCTTTGTGTAAAAGTTGTGCAGCCATCTCATGACTAATTTGGGAGGATTAATACAGAGGGGTTCTTATGGATGCCCATCTGTATATTTTCACAGAAAGGAGGTCCTTGCGAGAGCTCTTTCTATGCAATGTTGCAGTGACACCACTATTTTATCTCTGGGAAGGATCTAATCCTTTTGTCTGCAGTTTCTTGAGATCTCTGACAAATTGACAGCAAGGACATGGAGGAATTTCGCACTGCAGATTCTCAAAGCCTTGACTTGCTGCGGTTTTGACATCATTATCATGGCTGCAGTTGTTAACAACCAAACCTCTTTTGCTTGCAAGTTAATTTAACAACAAAGAGCTGAACTGGCAAATATAATTATACCTTGCCGATGATGCTTTTGATTTGTTGATCTAACTAGCGCTTGGCTGTGTTTCTTTTCCTTTTCTGGTGACTTTTGCAGCAATTAGTTCCTTCTTTTATTTTCTGACGTCTTAGAATTCCAGCAGCTTGACTCTTTCTTCTTTGCAGCACTTGGGATTTTATCCTTTTGCTTCTTGCTTTCAATTTATACAGCACTAGCACTAGCACCTTGGTTCCTTTCTGCGTTTTCTCTCCTGTCCCCCTTTTTTTTGGTTCATGTCTTTTTATAGGCAAACAGGTGAGTGGCAGTTGAGGAAGACTGTTTCTTCCCAGATTGTGCCATCGTTTTGATAAGTGGAGTGGTGGGAGATAAACTGCTCCATGCACGATCTCACCTTGACATTCTTTTTTAATTCCTTTTAATTTCTTTTGAGAGTGGGGCTGTAATGAGACTTTTGCTTAGAGATAAATATATGGGATTTATCAATAGCCACGTCATTTTGTTGGTGAGTTCTTCATTTGGGCCTCACTTGATTTAAAATTGATTTGTTACAGCCCAAATGCCTATCCAAATTAATCTGATAGGTATGAAATTTTTTTATTTCAACACTCTCATATCGGAATTTGGAGGTCGAGGCCCCTGGGAGCCCGTTTGACCAAGTTTGAGGTAGTTTGACCTTTGGTTAATTGTGAGTCTTCCGAGGTAGATTTACCTTCCTAGGAAGATTATAATGAACCTAGTGACAGGTCTTGAGCGTTGTTGAGTTATGTTGATTATGTGGGATTAGGATATTAATTTATTGTTTTAAGTTGGGGGATTATCCAATGCTATATTGTCGTTGAGGTTTATACTATTTTGGAAATATATATATATATATATTATACAGTTATAAAGACGTTTGATTCCATTATAAGTACCATCTTGTGATTGTGTGGTCTCACGTGGCGTAGGATTTTTCAGCGTTGAGACAGACCCCATACGTGGCGTTGAATGTTCCGGCGTATGGGGAGATTATGAGATGATAGGTCACACGTGGCGTAGGATTTTCCAGCGTGTTGACAAACCCCATACGTGGCGTTGGATGTTCCGGCGTATGGGGAGATTTTGTGATTGTGAGGTCCCACGTGGCGTAGGATTTTTCGGTGTGAGGACAGACCCCATACGTCGCGTTGGAATTTCCGGCGTATGGGGGGATAATGTGATATTATGTTGAGGTCAAACATGACGTAGGATTTTCCGGCGTGTTGATAGACCCCATAGGTGGCGTTGGATGTTCCGGCGTATGAGGAGATTTTGTGATTGTGAGGTCCCACGTGGCATAGGATTTTCCAGCGTGAGGACAGACCTCATACGTGGCGTTGGAATTTCCGGGGTATGAGGGGATTATGTGATATTATGTTGAGGTCGCACGTGGCGTAAGATTTTCCTGTTTGTTGACAGACCTCATACGTGGCGTTGGAATTTCCAGCGTATGGGGGGATTATGTGATATTATGTTGAGGTCGCACGTGGTGTAAGATTTTCTGGCATGTTGACAGACCCCATACGTGGCGTTGGAATTTACGGCGTATGGGGGGATTTTGTGATTAACAGGGAGATGAATAAATGATTATTATATTATATTGGGAAGCAAGACGTTTGAAAAAGATTATGCGTGGTAGGTTATGATTTAAAGAAAATGGAAAGGGATAAATGCTAGTGTCTATTATTTCGTATTGCTGTAAGGTATTATATATGGTTGGAATCGGGATTTTAGCGAAAGAACTACGTGTGGCTTGATCCCTGGTTGAGGGTACATAGGTAGCCTGGGGTCTCACCCAGGTGCAGCCGCTACCTAAAATTTACTTATGTTGATACAGTGGGCAATAATAAAATTGGTTGGATTTATTATATGCTTGGTTTAGAACCTGATTTGATTTGATAGTGTTGTTGGTGGTATTGCTTCGAATTATCGGAAGGCTGGAGGCCGTTTATGTGAATTGCATGTTATTACATTTTGTATGCTGCCAGTTGGGATATTAAATGTGTTTTATGCAGGTTGGAATTTTTGGGAAATGTTCAATTTACAGGGGAGACTCTGCCGAAATTTCGGCAGAAAGTCTCGTGCCCTTATTCCTTTTAAGGAAAAGAGGATATAGTTTTAGAGTTGGGCCCGACATCGGGGTGATGTCAGGAATTCCACAGGATTCGTCTCGGGTTCTGAGAAATTCGGGGCGGGTCCTGTCAATTGGTATCAGAGCTTTAGGTTTAATTTCTTGTGGACCCCGCACCTTTTGTGCATCCTTAAGTTGTGGCATCATGATGGGTTCCATCCCAGAATGGCACATTTTCGACGCTGAGGACGTCACAAACAGTAATTGTGATGCCTCATAAATTGGTAACCTGGGAAAACGCAATGAACTTTATGTTTCGAATGACATGGGGACATTACGGGGAATATTGAGAGTGGGAATATAGTAGTAGTAAGTGGAGATCGTTATGCTTACTTACTACTGAACCTCCGTCGTGGTGGTTAGTATGAAAAGGTGTTGGAGGTTATAGATTTTATGAAGGAACATGGTTGTACACTGACAAGTAGTCAGTAAGAGTGGATTTAAGTTCCAAGAGAAGTTCACTATGAATTGGGATGAATTGCTGCAAGATTCTTACTGCTTTGAGGTGTTGATTTCAGGGGCATCACCTCTGAATGATCATAACAACCATGCATGGGCTTGAATGCCGCGATTGACAGGAGTGGAACATTAGGGTTCTTCTTCCTTGCTCTCTCACACGAGCTCGCCATGAAGGGTATTTCTTGGCGTGGTACTGGCTTAGTATGACCTCCGATTGAGGTGATTTTTGTTGCTAAATGTGGTCATCATTTCCCCTCTACATCACTCAGTGATTATTCACTCCGGTTCCTCCAGTTCATGCGGTGAATTTTAGCTCCAAATTTTTTAAAAATTCCGACCACTGTGAGTTTGACCGACGACTTGGGTTACTTCTGCCAATCTTTCTGGAAATGGAACCAATGTGAGGAAGAGGAAGAGGAAAGTTACCTAGGCCGTTGAGGCAGAAGTAGAGTCGGAGCTTTACCACAGATAGAGGTTGTTTCAGAAGTTCCGGAAGATTGTGAACAGGAATCGAAAGTTTTGCATGGGGTAACACCTGTACCTATTGTACAGTTGGAGGTTTCTATGATAAAGTTGTTCGCTGAGTTGGTATAGGCGGGAGGACATGGAGTTGCTCAACCTGCTTCTAAGGATCCTCCATTGCCTGAACATGTTGCTAATTTTGGATTGTGTGCATTGAGCATGGAGTCGAAGATACTAAGAGCTCAACCTTTGTTTGGGAAGAGTAACTTCCTGATGTTGGATCATGGGATTCATGACCTGAAAGACGGCATTAGAATAATCGAAATCACAAGTGTGGAAAAGATTAAGATAGTCGTATTTCTCTTACAGAAAGAGGCTCATGTGTGGTGGGGATACTATGGTCAAGTCCAAGTATGAAACCCAGATGGATCTGTTAATCCTATCTGTAGAGATGGAGAGAGTGCTTTGGGGTCTCATCTCATGTGAGCACATCTGAGTAGAAATCTTTCATTAGAATAAAAAATGGGTCATGGTAGAGAGAGGTAGATGATGATTACAATTCGGTAAAAATGATCCTTTATGACATTCCTCTCAAAGAATCGTGTGGACAATGTCGTTTATGGATTTTAAAGAAAGAAGGAAAATATCAACAAGTCAAAGAACGTGGACTTCTTTTAGGGGGAGAGCTAGAAGAGAATCAAATCACAAATGGAAGCATTTAGCTTTCAGAGGAGGATTAAGCATTACAGCGGCTATTAAAGGATATTCTTAGTGGAAGGAGATTTCTCTTCCTCTATTTGTTTAGCTAGAGCTTTTGGCTTGGCTACCAACATGGTTGTGGAGGAAGGAACTTGGAAACCCGAGTAGTAAATGCGGGCTCAGTACCTATCCCCCTTCGAGTGACAGGTATGGAATTTCGAGGATAAAATTTTTATAAGGGGGGTAGATTGTAACGACCCGGTCCTAAATAAATAAGTAAATATTAATTTATCCAGATAAAAGACCATTTTGCCCATAGAATATTTTATTAGGTTTAAAGTTGACTTTTTGACCGAGAATGAATTTGGGAATTTTGATTGTACCTTTGCGTAGAGCACGGCGAGATGAGTCCGTAGACATGTAGTAGGCTCAAATCGGAGTTGTAACGAGAGAGATACAATCAAAATACCTTCTGTGGCATAACCATAATTCTGGCAAAAAGGGTTTGATAAAAATCAGATTCTCTCTCTCTCTCTCTCTCTCTCTCTCTCTCTCTCTCTCTTCTCTCTTCTCTCTTCTCTCTTCTCTCTCTCTCTCTCTCTCTCCTCCGCACGACAGCAGCACAGTCGGCCACGTTTTGGCCGACCGTTCTCTCATCTGGTCACCAAAGTTGACAAGGCCGGTATCAAAATGATCGGGCCACTGTCCTTTTCCAACCCCAGCTAGGCCCCATCGCCAGCCGCCGTGGTTTCGCCGGAAAAAGTTGTGAAAGGGCCGGTTTTTCGCTCGATCTTCATCGGCTTTGTTTTCCGTCGTCCGGCAGCCATTTTTGGAGATCCATGTATGGAAATTCATCTATTTCTCGAGCTCTAGCTTATGGTTGGGTAGGATTTCATTAATTTTGAGTGTTGATGGTTCGATTTATGAATTGAAATTAGGCCTGTTTTGGGATCACGATTCCGGGCAAATTCGGTCAGTTTTTGGGGTAGGTACGAGAACAAAAGTGGTTTCAAATAAGGTGTTATACCTAGGGTAGGAGTCTTGAGCCGTGATTTTGAGTTTTTCCAGCGATGGGTTATCGCTTTGGACACCCACGCGCTGTCGGCGCGTGGGCACTGTAGAAAAAGGGCATTGTGTCCCGATGTAATCTCCTGGTCCTTACGAGTGCGCAGGTGTGCTCTTATTTCAATTTGGATACCGTTTGAGTCTCGAACGGATATCGCCTATTTTGACTCATGGATGGAGGGAGGATTCGGAGCGACTGGGAAGGCTTAGATTGGCTGGTTGACTCTTTTTGCTTGTCTTTTTTGGGTGCCATTGTGCATCCTGCAAGAATTCTCTAGTAAGAAAATCAGGAATTGAATTCTCACTGCCTCTCAAATATTCAATATCAAAATCAAATATACTTAAATTGCTTTGCCATCGTGCAAAAATCTGTTTAGATGCAATGTTTTGAACATCTTTTTCTAAAACATGCTTTGCAGATTTACAATCAACTCTTATTAAAAACTTTTGATTAAGTAAATCATCTTGGAATTTACTAATGCATAATACAATAGCTAATATTTCTTTTTTAATAGTACTATAATTATATTGCGACTGGGTCCAGATTCCAGAATGAAAACGAACAATTTGTTCTGGAGAATTCGGACAGGCTCTTTGTTTCAGAATGCCACCATAACCTGTGTCAGAGGCATCGGTTTCAACTATTTTGAAGGAATCAACTGAAGGAATGCCAAGGCAGGGAAGTGTCTTGACATGGGTTTTTACTTGTTTGACAATTTCAGTATGAATATTTGACCATGGGGGAGGATTATTCTGTAACCTATCAAACAAGGGCTTACATTGTTTTCTCATATTTTGGTAAAAGTCAGAAACATAATTCAGAGATCCTAGAAATCTCTGGAGTTGACTTTTATCAAGAATTTGATCAGGGAATTTATCAGCAAATTGGATGACTCGATCAATTGGGGAGATTTGCGACTGACAGATATTGAAACCAAGAAATCGGATATTGGTTTGGAATAACTTGATTTTCTTGGCAGAGACAACTAAACCATTTTGTTTGACGATTTGAAGAAACTTATGCAAATGTTTCCAATGCTGCTCTATAGACTCAGAGAAAATGAGAACATCATCAATATAGACAATTGAGAAATGACTATAAGGATTGAAGATTTCATTCATGATATTCTGGAATTCACTAGGAGCGTTTTTCAGACCGAAAGGCATTACATTCCATTCATAATGACCAAAAGGAGTGACAAACGCAGTTTTATACCTATCTGACTCATGTATTTGGATTTGCCAGAAACCACTCTTCATATCAAATTTGGAATAAACAACTGCTTTTTCTAACCTATTAATCAGGTCTCTCTTATTAGGTATGGGGTACCTAATCCATTCTAAGACCGAATTAAGGGGCTTGTAATTGATAACTAATCTTGGGACTCCTCTTTCTAATTCAGCATTTTTCTGGACATAAAAAGCAGGACACGACCAAGGGGACTTACTCTTGCGAATTATTTTCTTCTCAAGTAACTCATGAATTTCTTTCTTACAAAACTCCATAATTTCTTGACTCATCTGAATTGGCCTGGCTTTAGTAGGAATGTTTTTCTCACTAAAGGTTTTGATATAAGGAAGATGGACAACATGTTGTTTCCTATACCAAAAAGCATTAGGCAACTCAGAGCAGATTTCATTTTTTAATTTGGTTTCAAACTGTTGAATTTGCAACTGTAAGGGAGTATCACTAAGCTGTTGTTCAACTCTTTTAAACCTAATTTCTTCTTTAAGAAAATTCAATTGACTATTTTTTCGAATAATTTGTACTGACTTAGAGACTGACTGTTTCTGCAGGGCTTTCAGATTATGCAACTCTGGTTTAGACAAAAACTCAAATTTAACCTTTTCTCCTAAATAAGTAGAAAGGACACCATCATAGTCTACCTGAAAGGGATATAACAAGGCAATAAAAGGTAATCCTAATATGACTTCATCAGTAATATTTTTAACTAAGACAAATGAGGTTTTGAAACAGATCTTATTTTGGCAAACATGGGCTTTTGGTATTTCAAAGTTCAACTGGAGAGATCTTCCTGAAGCAGTACTTAAGGATTCTCTAGACTTCTGGTAAAACTTAGTAGGAATTAGACCTTCCTGGATACAGTTAAGATCGGCTCCTGAATCAAATAGGGCAACTGTGGTAAACTCAAAATTTTGGACAAATATTGTTACTTTCGAATACCATTTTCTGAAATTAACTTGTCGGATTAGGCTAACAACCTGTTGGTCTTCTGGAGGTTCTTCATCAGAATTATGTGGACTTCCAGACTGGCTTTTAGACTCAGAAGACTCCTTTTCCATTAAATGAACTAGATCTTGTTTGATTGCATAATTCTCACTCTGTAATTTATGACTCATTTGTTTTAATTCGACTATTTCTTTTTTAACCATTTTTACTTCTAACTGTAAGTCTTGTAAGGTGACTTCTTTCTTTTTAGCAAATCTTTCTAAAGTAGTGTTTAGACTAACCGGCTGGGGGACAGACTGACTCGGACTTTCTTGACTGATGACTTTTCTTAATTTTTTTAAATATTCAGCTTTTAAATCGGGATTTTCAATTTTACTTATTAAGTCTATTAGCAATTCTTCTTGTTCTTCATGTTTAGTAAGAACAGAGATGGATTTTAACCTATTACAACATTTGTCTGTGCAACCAATTTGAATATTAGGTGAACTTGACTGTGAATCTGAAGACTGGTCAGATTCAGACTCAGAACTGGCAACTAAGGTTTCAACACTGCTTGTTTCAGAGTCTCGCAACTCTAAAACTTTTATCAATTTTTCCTTATCTTCGTCTGCAATTTTCAACTGTTTAATGGTATCTTTTACCTTACACTCAGAAGCATAATGACCGAACTTTTGGCATTTAAAACATTTAACTTTAGTTTTATCACTATTCTTTTTGGACCGATTCTTTTTTTGACCTTTTGGGGCTTTTGACCAATTTTTCTTAGGAGAGAATTTTCTTTTCTTGTAAAATTCACGATCATCATTATTACGTTGGGAGAATTGTTTCTTACGGGAGTAATGACGATCTTTTCGAAGATAACTAGGCTTATTTTTCCTGGAAGGAGGAATGCTGGCAAGACCATACTGTTCGCAGAAATTGCCTAACTCATACTTGGCAGACTTCCTATCGGATTGTATTTGTTTACCTATTTTGAAATCAATACACATTTTCATTCCAACTTGGTTAATTGTACTTACAATATTTCCATAAGTCAAACTATCCCAATCTATATGACCTTGCTCATTACTTAAGGTTGTGCGTATCTTATGGGCAAACAGATTTGGAAGACCATTAACAAATTTTTCTTTCTAGAATGGTTGATTACTATCATCTCTAAGCATAACTCTAGAAATGAAGACATCTTTATACCATCTGAAATCAGATAACTTAGGGCATCTAAGATTGCTCAACTGATCATGTATCCTGGCAGTGGTATGACTAGGGGTTCCAATGAAATGCTCAATTATTGTGTAAAGCAAAGTGTTGACTCCGTCTTCTATACCTTGACCTATTTGCTCATCAAATATAGGGAGGCCGTCTTCATTAAGTTTTACAGCATGAATGATCAAACTTTTTGACTCAGGGGTTAAGTGCTTATCCCACCAATACCTGAGAGTACCAGTAAATCCAGTGACTAACAGGGGTACAATTTCAGACTGTCTGAAACTGTGATTGGTGATATAACTATTAGCAACCATGGACATGTGTTGTAGCTTATTAAAGATTTCTTGCTCAGAAAGACCATCAATGTTCCATTCATACATTTTATCCGAGGAAACCGAGAACTGGGTTTGGAGGTTTCTTTCTTCAAATTGAATGTCTGGGGGTGTTGGCCTTGGGTACCAATTTCTAGTTAAACTGGTAGGGCTTATATGTTTTTCTAATTTTTTGACTCTGGGTTCAACTTGGACTTCTAAGTTTTTGAAAGCATTTTCAATTTTTGAAATGTTACTAATTTCGGAATCTATTGACTCAGGATCAGACTCAGTGGGGTTTGCAAAGGAATCTAGTGTTTTAAGACCAGATTTTTCGGCTTTACTTGGGGTCAACTGTTCTAGCATTTCTTCAATTTTCTTCATCGTTGGTTTGATTTTAAGCTTAGGGCTTGACTGAAGATCCTGGAACTGAACTATCGGCTTTTCAACTTTTGTTTTGGACTTAATTTCTGGGGAACTTATCTTATCGATTTTTGTTTCAATTGTATCTAACTGCTTTCCTATGACAATTAGACTCTGGTTGGTATAATTGTTTTGCTCAATTATCCTTTTACTTTCATCATCATTTTCATAAGTTTTGAAGGGACTGGCAGGTATGAGAGTATTCCTATGGCTGATAACAATGGTTTCAACTGGGGGATGACTAGCTTCAATTTCTGATCGGTCTATTAATTTCCATTTTTCTTTGGTGAGGGTTTTTAATTCACTAGTCAAGTAACGGCTTTCAATAAAATCAAGGTAGAAAATTTCAACTTTGGCTGACCGCATATAATCTTTCCATTCAGTAAAGATTTTTTGTCGGCTTTCACTATCAAGATAGGCTTGGTGATAACTATCTCGTCTATTCTGGTTTTCTGGAGACTTAAGATGGGAATTTAAACGTTTCCAATTAATTTCAAATTTCTTATTAAGGGTTCTAAGTTGGTTATCAACTGCTGCAAAATTATCAACTAAGAAATCAGACTGTGTGGGAGACTCAGGCGAATCAGACTTATCTTCTTGGACTGGTGCCTTGCCATAACAAGGTTGGTTTACCTGAGAGGATTTTCTCAGGGACTCAAGCTTAAAGTCAATCATGGCTTTTTCTAACTCTAGGTCTCGTTCTAAAGTGGAAGATGAGGCTGCAAAAGAGCGCCTAGCAGGGGCATGCCTCTGGGATTGACCAGGGGTCGGTAATTGTTGCAACTGGACATTAGACTTCTTTAGTGGCTGATTGTCAAATCTAATTTTTACTGTGCCGTCTAAATATTGTTGAATGTAGTCTAGATTGTTTAGACTACGCTGTATGGGAGCTGGTTGGCTTTCAGTGACTAAAGTCCATTCTTTTGGCAGGGCAACTTCTGACCACTTAATGGTTTGCGGAACTTGGACTCGGGCGTCTGGCGTGTGACTCTGTATTAGAACAGTTTGGTCTTTTGGGCTTTTATTAAGGGCTTGGAAGTTCATATTGGTGCCTGTAACCTTATAGTAAATTCTGTAGACTAAGGCTAAAGGTTGGGTTCCTGGGAGGACATTGTAACCTTCAGTCTTAATATTCAAAGTTAAAGTCTTTAGTATGTGAGGATCACTAAGACTTACAGTAAAATCTGGATAGCAATCGAAATGAACTGGGCCATTACACAAACTGGACTCAATGACTCCTAAGCAACTGTCGCTAAACTCAGTGAATCTAGCATCTCGTAAACCAAGGAAAATAGAGGCTTTTAACCCTAATCTGGTTAGGGGTTTAACAGCAACTTGAACTAGGCCAATATGCAGGAAGTTGTTTCCATCAGTTTTATGTTTCTTAATAGACTCGAGATTAAGCAACTGACAGGTTTCATGTTCTTTACTCAAGGCATACACTTGTTCAACTGTTTTAACATGGGTTGTGCTATTAAAACTAGAAGGCAACCAATGTTTCTTATAGATTTTTTGACTTGGGACTTTAGGTATATTCCAATCTCTAAAGTCTAATTGTTCTTTGCTACTGGAATCATATTCAAAATGTTCTTCATTAACTATTTCTGGAAGTTGGCTTATACTGGTTTGGGAGCTGCTTGAATTACAGGATTTTGTTCTAAATAAACGACTCATGGCTACTCAAGTGTTTGGGATTGGCTTTAAGAAGAAGGTAAACAGGGGCTTCCTAAACTGACCGTTTACTCAACAAGAAACTTATTAACCTCACTCAATTTTCTGTCTCCTGCCCACCTAACAAACCCTACCCTTGGGAATTACTGTTTTAGGAAAAAGAACTCACGGGTCAGACCTTAGAATGAGATCAACAAATGACTCGAAGAAGAAAAAGGAAGAAGAAGAAGAAACTGTAGAACTTCTACTCAGAAGCTTAAACCAGCCACTTGGGCGGGGATGAGTAGCAGACTTAGACAAAGACCGTAACTCTGACGGCTCTGATACCAATTAACGACGTCAGAGTTACGGTATCAGAGCCGTAACTCTAGAAATGAAGACATCAATTTTCAACGACGGGGAGAATTTGTTTGGTGGAAACAACTTCCTGGCTCTGATACCAATTCTGCTGTTCTATTTGGTTGATCTCAATATTTACACTTTGAAAAAAAACTCCTCTTTGTCGGCAAGAAGGTCTACAACTTTGAAGTTTGCATCATCCAAATTCTCAGCAACCAAAGTGGTAAGAGTTGTCCTCTTTTTTTCTTCAGTGTCTGATTTCTCATATATATATATATATATATATATATATATATTGCCGGCAATTGAAAAAGAAAACTAACGTTGATTTTTTTTTCCTACAGCCGCAAGAACCCACATGTTGGTCTATCAAGAAACTTGGTTGGTAAGCTTTTGTTTCCTTTTTTTCTTTGTTTCTCGTGCATGTTTTTTTTTTTTTGACTGGAGGGTGAAGGGGCTGGAACATGCCTGGAGGTGTGCGTTAGGGCCTGGCGGTATGGCTGGAGGCTTGGAAGGGCTGGCAGGTTCGAGTCCACCTGCGCTGGGCTCAAAGTGAAGGCAAGAAGGCGTCAGGCCTTGTGCATGATGTGGGCACGAGCTTGGAGAGAGTGGGCCAGGAGAAGATGCTGGGCTGCGAGCTGGAGCTGGAGCAAGCAACGATGGGCTTTGCATGAGGCGTGGGCTGCGCAGGCTGAGACGCGAGCTGGGCCTGGCGTGACATGGGCTGCGCGCTGGAGCATGGGCAAGCGACGATGGGCCTTGCTGGCTGGGGCTGGGCTGCGCAGGAGTGTGCAAGCTGGGCTGGCCCCTTTTGCTTGGGGTCCAGACAACTCGAAATAACCCTTTTTTTTTCTTTTTTTCTTTTTTAATTTTTATTTTATATGATGATATTTATACATATATATTTTTTTACAATAGGTACTTTGGAAGAAAGTGAAGAACGTAGACGTCCTATACCGCTTGGGTTTGATCCATCTCTTCGACTTGGTGATAACCCGCTCAAGCGCTTAGGCTTTACGTAAGTGCAGGACGAGTGAAGAACGTAGATGTCCTATACCGCTTGGGTTTGAACCATCTCTCCGACTTGGTGATAACCCGCTCAAGCGCTTAGGCTTTACGTAAGTGGAGGACAAGTGAAGAACGTAGACGTCCTATACCGCTTGGGTTTGAACCATCTCTCCGACTTGGTGATAACCCGCTCAAGATCTTAGGCTTTACGTAAGTGGAGGACAAGTGAAGAACGTAGATGTCCTATACAGCTTGGGTTTGAACCATCTCTCCGACTTGGTGATAACTCGCTCAAGCTCTTAGGCTTTACGTAAGTGGAGGACAAGTGAAGAATGTAGACGTCCTATACCGCTTGAGTTTGAACCATCTCTCCGACTTGGTGATAACTCGCTCAAGCGCTTAGGCTTTACGTAAGTGGAGGACAAGTGAAGAACGTAGACGTCCTATACCGCTTGGGTTTGATCCATCTCTCCGACTTGGTGATAACCCACTCAAGCGCTTAGGCTTTACGTAAGTGGAGGATAAGTGAAGAACGTAGACGTCCTATACTACTTGGGTTTGATCCATCTCTCCGACTTGGTGATAACCCGCTCAAGCACTTAGGCTTTACGTAGGGGACTCAAGACATTTCTACCTTTACCCGGCTTTTCAAACTGTGTACAAGCTCCTTTTTGCTTTTTTTTTTTTTTTTTTTTTTTTTTTTTTTTTATGAAATCACCAGCCTGATACTGAATATTGTTTCATGTTGCTCATCTTATACAGATGGCCTTCTTCAAGTGTTTCAAGAAAGGCACCGTTACTATTCTTGAGGATGAAAGTGATAACTGGGACGAAGGTACTACATTGCTTGTAGGGGCGCCTCTCCTAGCTTCGGAAGTATCTGAGGTGGGCAATTCTCTTCATATTCCGTGTTGGTCTCAAGAGGTGTTCTGTCAACTCAGCAGCTTCAAAAAATTCCAAGTCTACAGATAGGGACCTTCACTCCACTGTTTTACAGTTAAAGTCCTCCCGTCATACAGATACCAATTCATCGAAGGCGTTCGAGCTTCTTAGCGATCGAATCCATAATGGAGCAGTGAATTGGAGTTCTGCCCTCCCGACAGCTGGTGAATCTACATTTACTGAGTATTACTGGGAGTGGCTTGAAGATGTGGTAAGTAGAAGTACTCAGGTTCTTAAGAGCACCGGTCTATATAATGTAGTATTTGCCTCATTATTTAGCTATGATCGACATGCTCCAGTCATTCGAGCCTTTTGCGAGTACTGGTGTCCTGCAACAAATACTCTTCATACATCGCAAGGAGAGATGTCTATTTCCCTTTGGGATCTTCATGAAATTGGTGGTCTCCCTATTACAGGTCGATTTTATGATGAAGTTATTCCAACCACTGAGAGTCTCAACAGGAAGGATCATAAAGGCATGTCTTATATCCCACACATTTGTCGCTACTTATTCTTAGAGTATCACAACATTTTACAGGATTCTAAAGGAAAATCTGGAGTGAGAATGACTGCTTGGATAAAGTACTGGTCTCGAGGGCCATTCAAGTATAAAAAGCCTTCAAGGAAAACCATACGGAACAAGTCACAAAAGCCAAAGGAGGACTCTGATCCATCTGGTATCATTCCGATAGCACTGAAATGCACTGAGGAAGAGGAAAGAGTTTTTGAAGATTTGGGTATAGCTGATGAAGACATGGAAAAATCCTACTTGGCTGCATTCCTTGCTTACTGGTTGCGCAAATTTGTATTTCCCAAAGATGACGTAACTTTGATCATACCAGGGGTTTTCAAAGTTGCCAGTCGAATGGCGCACGATGTATCATTTGGCCTAGCAGTTCCAGTATTGGCCAGCATTTACAAGGGGTTGAACGATATTTGTAGTGCGGATGATCCAGGAATTTGCACAACTGTTCTACCTTTCCATTATGTGTATGGATGGTTGGGTGAATACTTCGACACAACATTTTACATCATCTTCTGAGAAGTCCATTCCTATCATGGCAAGGTTCTCAGGAAGACTTTCGGCAAAATTTTTTTGAAGATTCGACAGCTCGAGCTTTGTTCTAGACTTGTGGTAAAGTGAAAATGAGTCGTCTGGCAAGAGTATTTTTGGAATGCAAACAACTGACTGATGAAGATCATATCTCTAAAGAAGACTTTGAGTATTTGACTAATATACCGAATCATCCAACCTTATAGCCCGCACCGGTTTAGTAGACAATTTTGTTATGTACAACATGTGCCAGGAGAACTTAAAGATGACGTCCGAAATGGTACTGTGCTATCAGTGTACTCACATTGGAAATCATGCTTGAAGAGTGGCAGTGCATCTACAATAACCCTACCCACCAAGGACAATATCCGAGAGTTTGAGGTCACATCCGACTATGTTATTTGGTGGTCGAAGGTGCATCGCTTTGAATCTACGAAATCAAAGACAATCTCAACTGTAGGCAAGTCGTCGTCGCTTTCTCAGCCAAAATTTCTTAAGTCTCAAGGCCACGAAGTTTCAATTCATGATAAACTCACCCGTGGTAGAGCGCTCCAAGTTCATCCAGAAGTTTAAGGTAGTTCTACTACTCTTGTGCCTCGAGTTCAACACCCATCTCCGGTGGATGTTCCTTCAACTCAAGTCCCTAATGATAAAGGAGAAAAAGAAAGTGTGGCAGATTCCCAGGAAGATTTCATTCCCCTTGGTCAACGAATTCGCAATTTGAAGCGAGGGCATATAAGCAGCAATGAAGATAGTGAAGTCAACTTTAGGCATAAGAAGACAAGCGTCGGACCTCTTTATTGTGATTTGGACACGGCATACCCACTTGATGACACATTCTTTTGTGATGTGCCCGCTGTTTCACAACCGGTTCTAATGAACGAGCTATGTATTTTATTTCACCTTGAGCCTCCCTTTTTTTATACACATATATATATATTAATTAATTAATTATATTTTAGGGAGAAGTAGTGCATCATGTCCCTACTGTGTCCGAGCTTGTACCATTTAATCATTTTCCTATCGAAGAGGAAAATGATGCTTTGCGCCCGATAAGTGGTTTAGGTGTTAGCCTAAGAGGTATGATTTTATCAAGCTCCGTATTTAGAAATCTTTGATTCTACTTGCTTAACCATTACTCGTCAATGTAGGTTCGCCTGTGCATCAACATTTGTTAAAGCCGGCTACTCATGCATCAACCTCTGAAATGTCATGTGGGGAACCGAAATTAGGTGTTGCAGACAAACCCTTCGCAAAGTAGTTTCCGTTATGGGCAACCAAATAAAAAACATAATCTTGAAGGCTTCGTTAGAAAGGCTTCCTTCATTCAAAGATGAGATTGGCAAGTTGTTGACTACCCTTGACAATGTAGGGGCGGACGTCTCATCCCTACGAGCTATGATTGATGCACTTATGGTAACCGCAGTTGACTATTGTTCTGCACACTCTGCTTACTCCCAAAAGCTGTCTCCCGAGGTTCAAAGTGATCATTTAGCTGCTGTCGACTCTTCACTTTCTGTTGCCTTGGCTCTGCAACAAGCTGAAGAGGTTCATCAATTTTCTATACTTGAGTCTATTAAATCTGCCAACACATGTATGGAGGAGTTGAAGAGAGAACAAGAGCAATTGGAGTCAAGACTGCGTCAATTAAACGAATCACTTTCAAAGAGTGATGCACAACTTTCTTATCATCATGGTGAGGTTGCCCGTTTGAGAGAGGATAAGAATGCAGTTGAAGAAGCTCCTGTATTATCCACTGCCGATGCTGAGACTTTAGATGCGTTACGAGTTTCTTTTGAGAGATTGCGTAACGGCTTCAAGGACTTGTCTTGGGAATAGCAAACTTTTGTTGTTGTAAACTTTCTTCGCTTTATTTATATTTCTCTTTGAACTTGTCAAAGTGTTGTTTACTAATTAACTTTCATAATGAAATAAAAGCACTTTCTTATTTCATTAATTTTTTTTTCGAATGGTTCGGATTGATGAGGAAACCCTTTGTTTTTATTTTGATGTGACTGAACTTGGAATTATTTATCCAAGCTGCCTACGTACCCTCGATGAAAAGGGATCAAGTCATCACGTAGTTTTTTTTGTTTTTTTTTTTTTTTTCTTGTGCTCTAACTTTTGCTTGGACCGCCCTTTCGGGTTTTCAATCCAACGAGCCTTTTCTTGTGTGCTCTAACTTTTGCTTGGACCGCCCTTTCGGGTTTTCAATCCAACGTTGTTTTCTTTTTTGATGCTCGTACGCAATTTAGGCTCATGCGGGCCAGGAGCTTGGTATCATTTCATGCGTAGTATGGTTTCAAGAACTTTCCGTTGATAGGATCGACTCTTAAACTGTCCTCGGCTACGATCTTGTGAGCTCCACTTGTGTACACTTCTTGAACTACGTAGGGCCCATCCCATTTCGAAATAAACTTGCTTCCGGTTTTGTGTGTTGTGATGATAGGTCTACGTAATGCGAGGACAAGATCTCCTACTTGAAAAGACCTGGAGAGAACCTTCTTGTTAAAAGCATTCGAAAGCCGAGCTTGATAACACTCTAAGCGTTGTTGCGCTTCGAGTCTCTTTTTGTCTAGTGCTTCTAACTCTTGGAGACGTAGCTTTGCATTCTCTTCATCAGTCAATCCCTCTTGCACGGCCATCCTCAATGATGGAATTTGACTTTCTAGAGGCAAGACTGCTTCCACGCCATACACGAGTGAATATGGTGTAGCCTGAGTAGGCATCCGATATGTCGTCCGATAAGCCCACAATGCTTCATTTATCCTTTCATGCCAATCTTTCTTGGTTATTCCAACAACTTTCTTCAACAGGTTGCAAAGAGTTTTGTTGAACGCCTCTGCAAGACCGTTGGCTGGGGCATTGTACATTGAAGAGTTGCATTGTTTGAAACCGAAGTCTTCACACAATTTATCCATCAACCGGTTCGAGAATGGCTTTCCATTATCTGTGATGATGTAGCGCGGCACACCATACCAATGAATGATATTCACTTTGATAAAGTTCACTACGTTTTCTTTCTTCACTTCCTTTAAAGGTACATCTTCTGCCTATTTTGAAAAGTAGTATGTGGCTGCAAGGATGTAAGAATGACCATTAGAAGATTTGGGTGCTATTGGTCCCACCACATCAAGGCCCCACGCATCAAATGGCCATGAAGCAATTGTAGGATGTAGCGGCTCCGGCGGATGATGTATAAAGTTGGCATGGAATTGACATGCTTGGCATTTCTTCATATAATCCATGCAATCCTTGACCATAGTCGGCAAATAGTAGCCCATCCTCTTTATTTGGAAATGTAGCTTTGGCCCTGATTGATGAGCCCCATAAATACCTGAGTGAGCCTCCTCCATTGCTTTGGATGCATCTTCTTCCCCCCAGCATCTTAGAAACAGGCCTTCGAATGAATGACGGTATAGAATCTCTTTATAATAAATGAATCGAGGTGCCCGATGCCGTACCTCTGATCGATTTCTCGAATCATCTGGCAGTTTTCCATGCTCAAGATAATCAATTAAAGGTTGCCTCCAATCGTCAATATCAATGGACAACACCGAGATAACGTTGGCTCCTTCTTGCGATGCCTCAAGTGTTAATGGAATGACCCAACGTTGGCAAACTGGAAGATTCACCGCTTCATCTTTTGTCAACGCCAACGTAATGGCAAGATTGGCTAAGGCATCTGCCATTTGGTTGTCCTTTCTTGGCACATGCTCCAGCGTCACAAAGTCAAACCTTTCCAGTAATTGCGTGGCCATTTGGTGATATGGAATTAGATCATCCTTCCTAACTTCGTAGTGGGTCAACAATTGGTTGATCACTAACATGGAGTCACCATATACTTCTAAGCTCGATATCTTCATCTCTACGGCCATTTGTAAACCCATGATCAAAGCCTGGTATTCTGCAACGTTGTTCGAGCAAAGTTCACTTAAAGAGAATGAGTAGGGCAATACGTGTCTCTCAGGTGACAGGAAGACTACGCCAGCCCCCGCCCCATCTTTACGAGCCGATCCGTCAAAAAACATCATTCAAGCAGGAGAAATGTCAGCGAAGAAGACTTGTTCGTCGGGTAAGTCATCTGAAATTTCCTAGTCTGCTGGAATTGGATGATCGGCTAGGAAATCTGCAACAGCTTGCCCTTTTACCGCCTTTGCTGGAGTGTAGATGATTTCATATTGATTGAGAAGTAACGCCCATTTGGCCAAACGCCCCGTCAAGACTGGTTTTGACATAACGTACCTCACCGGGTCAGCTCGTGCAATTAGATGAACCGTGAACGCTTGCATGTAGTGCCTTAACTTTTGAATAGCAAAGACAAGTGTAAGACACGTCTTTTCTATAGGCGTGTAGTTCAATTTGGGACCAGTAAAAGTTCGGCTTAGATAATAGAGTGTTTGCTCCTTATGTGACTCATTCTCTTGCGCCAACAGGGCTCTAATTGACCTCTCTTGAGCCGCAATGTACAATATGAGTGATTTGCCTGGAATAGGAAATCCTAACAGTGGTGAACTCGATAGGTACTTCTTTATGATTTCAAATGCATTGTGACAACCTTCATCCCAAACAAATGGAACATCTTTTTTCATAAGGCGACTGAACAGCTGACACCTTCCTGCTAAGTTTGAGATGAATCACCGAATGAACGCGAGACGCCCTTGTAAACTTTTCAACTCACGTAAATTTCTTGGCCCGGTATACCTCGGATGGCTTAAATCTTAGTCTAGTCTACTTCGATGCCTCGATGTTTAACAATGAAACCAAGAAATTTACCTGACGTGACGCCGAAAGCACACTTCAAAGGGTTCATCTTGAGTTGGTATTTCCGCAATCTGTTAAACACCATTCTCAAGTCTTTCAAGTGATCTTCTCTTCTTTTTGACTTGATCACCAGGTCATCAACGTAGCACTCGACATTCTTATGAAGCATGTCACCAAAGATCTTTTGCATTGCGCGTTGATAGGTCGCACCTGCATTCTTGAGGCCAAATGACATCACTTTGTAACAGTAAATTCCTTTCGGAGTGCGGAAGGCTGTGAGTTCTTCGTCCTCTGGTGACATTCTTATTTGATTGTATCCAGATGAACCATCCATGAAAGATAAGGCTTCATGACCTGTGGTTGCATCAACCATGAGCTCAATTATGGGCAATGGAAAGTCATCCTTCGGGCAAGCCTCGTTTAAGTCTCGGAAGTCAACACAAATACGAATTTGTCCAGTGATTTTCTTCTTCACCGGAACGATGTTCGCTATCCACGTCGGGTATTTCACCTCCCTAATAAATCCGGCGGCGATCAACTTGTCAACTTCGGCTTCGATTTGACTTAGGCGCTCCGGACGGAAGCGACGTTGAGTTTGTTTGATTGGGCGAGTTCCAGGTTTGACTGCAAGGTGATGGACAGCAACCTTCGGATCAAGGCCTGGCATCTCCTTGTACGTCCAAGCAAAGACATCTTTATACTCAAGTAGAAGTTGATGATAGGACTCCTCTTCACTAGGATTCAAAAGTGCACTAACGAAGATAGGTCTTGGGCCTTCATTTGTGCCCAGATTGAGTTCTTTTAGTTCATCAACAGTCGCTTGGCCTCTATCTTCTAATGCGGTAGGAGCATCATGAACCTCCTCCTCGAAAGGTTCCTCTTCGTCGAGCTCTTTGATCGTAACGTGATGAACAGCTAGAACCTCCGCTTCTTCATCGTCACTTTTGTTTTGCTGACTCAAAATTTCCCGAGTTTGTATGATTGTTCGTTGTTTCACTTTGAGTTGGTCACCTGAAGTTACGTCTAATGTAGAGTGATGTTTCATACGTGACGGGATTAAGCTCCGAATTTCATTGTCTTCCGTTGAATCGACATGAACTCTAGTTTTCAATTCTTGCTGATTTTCCTCTTCAGACGACTTGCTTGGAACTCCATGTCTTTCTAGCGCCGATCTGTGTGGGGCTGATTGAATTCCCATTTGGCTATCATGCCCAGTTATCCTTTTGATCACAGAAGCTCGTGATGTTGATTCTTTGATGCGGCTGAAAACTGAGGTTTGCTGGGTAGGCTTGGCTAAACGGTCGAACACTGAGGCTCTCTTAACAGCCTTTGGTTCTTCTTCCTCCTCAACCGCTTCGACACTAATATGTTGAGCTTCTGCTTTCTTTTCTTTTCTTCTAGCAGAGATCTTGACAGGTGCGACAGAAATAAAACCTAGGCCTGCTCTAGCTGAGTCAATTGTGTAACCTTGCTCCTTCAACTTCTTTTGGGTTTCGCTAAGGCCATGCTTCCTTTCTCCTGTGACATCTGGATTAAGCTCTCCCATCGAAGAAGATAAGCCGAAGTCATAACCTGCCTTTGACATGAGCTTATAAGCATTAGGGTCAAAACCTTCTTTTGTTCTTGTGACCAGAAGAGATTCGTGTCTTGTTGCCTCTTGTGATGGTTTGACGAACCCTGGTACCGAAGATTTTGAAACGTCTGAATTATTCAACTTGGGTAAAGGTATGGTTGTCGACTCCTTCAAGAACTTCATGTCGCTTTCTCCTAATTTCCTTGGCTTTACTTCTTCTCCAAATGGGGATTGTCCTTCCTTCCGTCGGGATGCTGAGACATAGCGGAGGACGGGAGTAGACACCTTCCGTGAATCTGTCGGTGATGATCCCATTTGTCCGGACAAAGTGCTTTTTGACTTCTTCGAAACATTCTTTGCAGCGGGAGGGCACTTTGAATGCTCTTCTCTTCTTGGCATGACTTTTCCTGTCGAGTGAACCTCCACGGGAATAACTTCAGATACCACGTCTTCATCCATGTAAAATTTGGCGTCCGCGAAGTAAGACTCGGCTTCAGTAAATGGTTTGACGTCACCCAAGATTTTCTTTACTCCTCCTCTGTAAAATTTGAAACATTGATGTAAGGTTGAAGGCACTATCCCATTTTCATGCACCCATGGCCTTCCTAATAGGAGATTGTAGGAGGTCTTAACATCAATCACGTGAAATAGGGTGTTTGACTTTAAATCGCCTATCACGAGCTCAATTCTGATCATGCCCATAGCTCTTTGTCCTCCTTGATTGAAGCCTTGAATCATGAGACGACTGCGAGACAATTCGTCCATGGTGATGCCTAACTTCATCATCGTGGATTTAGGCATGATGTTCACTGCTGAACCCCCGTCCACAAGCATGCGACTAAGTTTTTGTTCTCGCACATACCCTGACATGAAATGCGGACGATTATGTGGTTTAGATCCTAACAAGAGGTCTTCATCGGTGAATGTGATGGAAGCACACGTCGCGCAGCAAATAGCATGGTCTTGAGACTCAGGCTCTAATTCTCCGGTCCTCCTTATCTTATTTGGTTGGATATCGAGATCCATTAATGCCTTTACCAATGCTACACATATGGCTTCAGGGAGTTCCACCGCTTCTTCAATATTTGAATGCGCTGGTGGATTTTCTGCCTGTGTTGAGACCTTTCGCTCTTCATGAGTTTCATATCTCCCTTCCGAGGCATCTTTGTCATCTACCTGATAGCAAGTTGTCATATGGACTGTCTCCGTTGGCCCTCTTACGAAGAACACTTTGGGAAAGTATTCTCCTAGCATAACTGGAGTTCGTGGCCCTTGGATGAATGGTCCATCTTCTTGTTCAGAGTCTCTCCTCACCATCCTTCTGGTTTTGTTCTTAGAATGTTGGTGTGAGCCTCTCTTTCGCCGCTCCTTCTTTGATTGAGCATTTTGTCGTTGAGGAATGCGCTTCGTACGAGACTTTCGCCGAGTAACGAGCGTCCATCCTTCATTGTCATCAAAAGACGAGTCACCAACAAAGCCATCACCACATTGATTGTTTGGTTCGCCCACCACTTCTTTTGTACATAGACCAGTCTTCTGGTGTATGCCCCTTGTAGATTGAAACTCCGATCTTTTTGACAATACAGGCAACGGCACCAGATCAAAGGATCCGAACACAATTGTGGCAATGTTCGCCTCCGCAATTTCGTCAACATCCAACTCGATCCTTCCTTGCCTAGCTAAGTTCATAATTAGCTCCTTCAACACGAAGCACTTTTCTACTGGATGGCTGACAATTCTGTGGTATTTGCAAAATTTAGGGTCGTTGACCCGGTTCATCTCCTCGGGCCGCTTACATTCCGGCAATTCGATCACCTTCTTTTCCAGCAAATCCTCAAGCATACCTGCGACATCGGAGTCAGGAAAAGGGTACGTTTTCTCCTCCAATTCCTTCAAGGTGCACCGACGTCTATCTACCTCTCGGGATGACTCCATCCTTTCCCTCTTCTTATCTCAGGTGGAGATTTGACCGGGACAATGTTGATTGTCATTGCTTCCTTGGTAGGCTTATTGACCGGCTTATCTGTCTTTTGTTCAAAGACTTTCTCCTTTTTATGCTCGATGACGGGCTCATGGTTTCCTCCGTGGCTGGCAATGCTTAACTCCATATCATGGGCACGAGTGGCTAGCTCCTCAAACGTGTGGGGTTTAATCCCTTATAGAATGTAGAGTAACCCCCAATGCATCCCTTGAATGCACATCCCGACTGCCGATATCTCCAAAAGCCTATCTTTGCAATCCAAGCTTAATGAACGTCATCGATTGATGTAATCAACGACAGGTTCATTTTTCCATTGCTTAGTATTCGTGAGTTCCATCATACTCACGGTGCGACGAGTGCTATAGAATCTGTTCAAGAATTCTCGCTCCATTTGGTCCCAACTGTCAAGGGACTTGGACTCCAAGTCTACATACCAATCAAATGCATTTCCCTTCAGGGATTGAACAAATTGTTTCACCAAGTGGTCGCCCTCCGTTCCAGCATTGTTGCATGTTTCGACGAAGTGTGCAATGTGTTGTTTTGGATTGCCCTTTCCATCGAATTGTTGGAACTTGGGAGGTTGATATCCCGTCGGCATCCGCAAGTTGTCTATCCTCCTGGTGTATGGCTTAGAATACATGAATGTGTCTCGGGAAGGTGCTCCGTATTGAACTCTGATGGTGTTCGCGATCATGTCCTGAAGTTGTTGGACCGACAAAGAACCCCGTCAATTTTTCCGTGCGACTTCTCACCCGATTCTGTTTCATGACCCAATCCTTTCTCGCTGGATTCAGCCTCATGATGTGGTCTTTTCTTGTTTGCGTCTTGACCAGGCTCCTTATCCTGATGTGCTTCCCACTTGTTGATGAGAGAAGCAATCTGCGCATCCTTCTCTTCGACCATCTTTGTCAGTTTCGTGACCGCTTCGCTCATATGGGCTAGCTGTTCTTCAATAGACATTGCTCTCGTCACCATAACCTACATGGCCATAGAATAAGACTCACCTATGGACGCCGAGGCAATCTTCTTATGTTGGTCATCAGGCGGGGATCCATGGTATGAGCCTGTGCTCGAGTCAGTGTCTGAAACAGGCGAGAGGGAACGTTCTCTTGAATTCTTCGAGCCCGAAAAACTCCTTTCTTCATTCCGAGAGTTTCTCTCATCCGCCTGGGAGGTATTCTTCTTTGCCCCCAAGGAGGCCAAATTGATAACCAATTCACGCCTTCGGTTCACGTCTTTTGCCTTGGCTTGAGTCGGTATGGAAGTGACCTGTGGAGTTGCGGATATCGCCTTGGCCTTGCTCCGGGTGAAGACCCCAGTAGAATCTCCGCTTGAGAAGGAGGCACTCACGCTTTTCCCTTTCGCCACAGGAACGGTTTGAATCTTCTAAGAGGCCATCGTGTTTGGTGTGTTGGTTGATTTTGGAACTGGAGAAAGAGATGAGAGGTAGAGATGGTCCCACCGGGCGTGCCAAATTTGTAAACACGAATTTCCTTCGACAAATGAGACAAGAACACGTGTACAAAATAATATTTGTATTTATCAAATTTAGGGTTACAATCTCTGTATTGATTCCTCTGATTCGATCTCCAAAATGTATAAAGAAAATTTGTGTTTGATGCAAGGGTCGTAGAGACTTGATCTTGATCAAACGGGTAGCACAAGGCTTGTTTGGTGTTTGAGATTTTCTAGGGTGGGGGAACCGGCACGTATTTGTTGTGCTCGGTGGCTCTTCCAAAGTGTAGGTGAAGAATGCAGGGAGTTTTCTGCTTCTTCTCAACGCTATGTTTTTTTCTGGCCCCTTCTTTCATCTTGAAGCCTCCTATTTATAGGCTCTTGTAGGGTGCTTGACCTAAATAACCTTCCCTATTTAAAACCTTGTTTTGTGGGATTTTGATTTGATTTAAATCAATTCCCATAATCTGTCAATTTTAACCAGATTATCTTCAATTGATTGACCTGATTAATATTTGATTTAAATCAAGGTCAATCACAGAAGATTCTTTCCCTTAATTTTGTCTTTATCTTGAACCGTTTGATGCACTCCGTCGGATGTCGCCACGTGTCACCTTTATGACAGCTAATCCGATTTTGATGAGTCATACGCCACATGGGCGAATTATGGGGCCCACAATTTAATCCACTGAACCCTAATTATTTTCTCGTCCAATGGAATTTATTGCATCAAAATTTCTTTGTCTACATATATATTCAAATTTTAATATATATTATATTGGTAACAATGCAATAGAAATCGGATGCCCAAGTTTAAGCCAACGATTCAAGCCCAGATTTTCGGAGGATAATGTGCACGTGGCGGAAGGCCTCACAAGGAAAGAAATCAAGGGATTTTTTATAGTAACTCCGAATGCTCCAAAACAATGAAGAATCAAGCATGTCAGAATATCTTCTTCAATACAATCCCACGGATTTAGGGGGGCTTCGAAAGGAAAGATTTTTAAGAAGAGTTGACATATGGTCATTCAATGGCCAACCCATGGGCTAACGAGTGCCCTATGTAAACCTTACTCGATGAAGACATCAAACAGACAACATCAGACAAACAAACTCATCTTTCGTCTCGCACTTTTCTTTTCCTAGACTTAGGATTTTATTTTTCAAGCACCTAGTGTAGTGAGTCCTTCATATTTCTAGTGTAAGTTTATATTTTCCTTGTCATTTGAATTCTTGTTCAATTATATTTCTTGTCATTTAAATTCAAGTTTATTTTGGTTCCTTTACATTTAATTGTTATCGCACTTTGATTAAATTTAATTTCAAGTTTATTTCCTTTTCGTTCTTATCGTTCTTATCGCTTTTATTTCGTTCTGGCTTTATTTATCGCTTTGATTTATTTTATCTCATTTCAATTCTTGTATTTACGTTTATACGCATATTTAGTTTAATTGCATTATTTTTACTTAAAACCATAAAAATCACAAAAAACATCCATACAAAACCTAACCATTCTCGAGCCCGAGAAAGTGAAAGAATCTAGGCCAAGAGGAGGTTCCTTGCTTGGCCAATCAATCGCTTGGTTAAAAGTTAAAAGCGCAACACATCCATCTATTCACATTCCATTCAAGCCCAAATTTGAGGCTTGGTGGTGGCACGCCCCGCATCCAAAAAAGAAGGACCAAAAGTTCCTTCCGTCGACTGCCTCGGCCGAAAAGAGGGAAACATAATTTGGCACGCCCAGTGGGACCACTAGGTTTTGTATGGTCATAAACACTAGGAGGAATCCTAGAAGAGATCAAAAATTTGAAGAATCTAGACTTCGGTCGGAATCAGAGACAAGCATGGCTGGTTCACTCCCTACGAATACTCAGCCATAAAATGTTCCGGCCGCTCAACAAGAGCAAAATGGCCCCGGCCGAAACACGGCCGTCGGCCACGACCAAGTGTTAGTCAAAGATATTACGGAAGTCGCCGGGGGACCAGTATTGAGGCCGAATCCAGCCACTTCATTGGAACTCCAACAACTCATGCGTGTCATAAAGACAATGGCCAAAACGATGGCCACTCAAAATGCTCAAATCGATGAGAGGTTTGATCGATGGTTAGGCCAACAAAATGGCCAAAATGGGAACCAAGGGGTGCCTAATGGAGCACCAGCGGTCGGGCCACAAGTGGAGGCCCAACCAAATGGTTTTGGAGTAAATCCAACGTAGGCCCAGTGATTAATGTTTCGCCGATGGGCAAAAATCCATATGCGGCGGTCAACCAATTCCAAGTGTTCCTGCCATATAATCAATTTCGCCCACAAGCTCACCAAGGGGTCGAAGCCAATTTTGCTGGGCCTCATATCAACCAATTTGCCGGAGTCGGTGGTTGGAATAATCCCAGCGGGAATGCTAGGGAATCAAGCAATCGACTGAGGTGCAGTCGAACAAATGATTCAAGATATGGTGCCCCATGCTAGGAGGATTGGTAGGCCGGTCTATTGACGGCCATATCCGGAGCACTTTGATCAAGAGGAATTTCCAAGGGGTTTCAAGGTTCCGGATTTTGCACTATTTTAGGGAGATGGGCTCCAGTCGACCGTTGAACACATTGGTCGATTCACGACCCAATGTGTGGAGATTGGGCACCGTGAGGCCTTGAAACTAAGGCTATTTTCGAGTACCCTTACGGGGGCAACTTTCTCATGGTATGTTAAGCTTCCGCAAAACTCTGTCCCGAATTGGCAAGTTATGGAGTAAGTCTTCCACGAACAATTCTATCGACTGGAGCCGGAAGTCTTGATGGCTGACTTGGCGAAGATAAGCTGGAAGCCAAGTGAGTCGGTCCAAGAATATTTGGGGCGATTTAGAGAAGCAAGGGCTAGGTGCACGGTCAATATGCCGGAGCATGAGTTTGCAAAATTGGCCCAAGGAGGTTTGTTGCTTGACATCTGAAAGAAATTCGAAGGAATTGAGTTCCGCGACATTTATGATCTCTTACTTCGGGTGGACCGATACGAAGCCCTTCTAAAGGAGGAGCAACAAAAAGGGCAGCCGGCACCTCGGTACGAAACCATATTTAGTTTAATTGCATTATTTTTACTTAAAACCATAAAAATCACAATAACAAAAAACATCCATACGAAACCTAACCATTCTTGAGCCCGAGAAAGTGAAAGAATCTAGGCCAATAGGAGGTTCCTTGCTTGGCCGATCAATTGCTTGGTTAAAAGTTAGAAGCGCAACACATCCATCTATTCACATTCCATTCAAGCCCAAATTTGGGGCTTGGTGGTGGCACGCCCCGCATCCAAAGAAGAAGGACCAAAAGTTTCTTTTGTCGGCCGCCCTGGCCGAAAAGAGGGAAACGCAACGGTAATTGCATACCGTAATGCAATAGCAATTAAAAAACATGCAATTTATGTTTCCCGGTTTGGGAATTGCTCATTATGTTGCCAATCCACCCTTTAACTCCTCCCATGTTATCTCCTTCTGTTTACCTATTCCAAGTG